GCAGTGTGATTGGTCCGACGCATGAAGACGGATGGCTTGTCTAGAGGGTGCCGCCGGGTTGAAACCAAGCTAGCTGAAGTCATGGGATTCTTGTCTCTCTTCCATCATCAGAAACAATATCGCTGTCTGCCATGGCAAGTGCTGCTCTCATTTGTGCACGCGCTTTTCGACATCCGCGATAGCCCTGTCGAAAGAGCGACCGGCACTTATGAGACGATCACCTTGGATATCGCGAGGATGGCGAGATGGATCGCCTTGCACACTTACCCTGATTGGCTCCTGGTGTCCAACATTAGAAATCCTACTCCCGAGAACCCTTCTTGCCCGCGCCAAGGAAAATGAGATCGTTCAGCCAATCGTCAAATATCCTCGAGGACTTCACGGTCCAGCGTGTCTGTGACGGCCACATCATTTGTGAAGACGTCACTCGTCGGGGATGGTGGTCGACGACTGTGGTGCTAGCAGCGGTGGTGGAACTGATCGCGCTTCTGATCCAGGAAGAAGCCGTCCTCAGGGATGGCACCTGCAGCAGTCTGTGATGCAGTTTCTGCAGGAAGGGGCCGCGGAATGCAGGCTTCAGTGAAGGCATTGGAACAAGTGGTCAGGCGAGTAGCCCAAGAGTCCTTGGTGGACACGGGAGGTGGGAGCGAAGCGTCTCTTTCAGTGTGGGGATGCATATCGCGATGCTGATTCGTAAAAGGTGCCCGAGCCTGTTCTCCTCCCCCGCCTCAGAGTGAATGCAGGTGGGCATGAACTGGGTTTAGCGTTTCTTGGCCCGCAGCAAATTCCAACTGCATGGGTGGACAACGGGATCAAAGATGTCTCAACAGCGAATCACGAGCTGCAGACAGACATATCGAATCAAAGTTGTCAAGTGGTCGTTGAGAGGCAGGAATCGAAAGCTGCTGAAATTTGCACTCTCACTTGTGACGCCTAGTATCTTCCCCGATGTGCCCGTAGGAGTCTTGTGCATGGAGCATAGCGTCGTTCGGCCGCCGCGTACGAGCCTGCTGCTGGTCGAGGCCGCGATGCTCGGTGCTGCTGTTGCCGGCCGAGAGTGGAACCATCGGACTGCGGCGTGAAGCACAAGATCCCCACCATCGCTGCCGGGAGGGCTCCATATCTGAGCAGATAGCTTGAAGAGGATGGATGCATAATGGGGGTGTGTTCGGATTTACGCAAGACCTTGGGATTGATCTCGTTGCGCTAGTCTCTGGGAACTGCATGTGCCCAGGAGAGAATCATGTTTCGCACTTGCTGCGACAGAGACAAGTGGGCGAGAAGAAGAGACGATGATGAAAGGTCGCAGACTGATCGGTCGAGGGTAACATGCCTAAGATGCTGCTCTGCTGCTCGAGTTGGTGGCGAGGGTGCTCATGGGATTTGGAGTTGTCCGTCGCCAAATAACGTTTGTTTGTCATGCCAGGTACACCCGGCGGGGAGCGGTCACGAGGTTTGTGTCGAAACTGTCGAAACCAGGACATAGCCTTCATGGGATGGACATGATGTAAGAGGGTCGAATACCACTGGAGTCTCTCTCGCATTCACACGTCCGACAGGATGGCATTCCCATTTGCATGCTAGGATTGGCCAACTGTTGGAACGGACAGCAATGGCGAACCCCAGGTTTTGCTCCTTCTCTGACGCCACCCCTCGGATGGTGTTGAAATTGGCGTTGGATCCGCACTTTTTGAGAGGGCGACCAATAGAGATACGGATTGGCTTCACCTGCCACCTTTCCCCAACCCTCGTCGACTTCATGCAGCAGAGCTGATCACTTGTCGTCGTGGTTGCGTAGCCTTGGTGGCCAGGAGAGGGGAAGACGCGAAAAGGTCGGGCTGGTGGCACAGCGTCGACGAGTCCGACTTGCGTTGAGAGAGGCAGTCCCTCAAGACAGACCCCACCAGCTACCGCCGTCGTAGTATTCGATGGTCGGGTTTTGTGTGCACTGGCACGACGGGCCCTTGAGTGTGGTGTGTTCCCGCTGCCGTTGCCGTTGAGTTCTCTTGCTGCGCTGAGAGAAATTCTCCATGAGGTCCCCGGGAAGTGAGTGGAGCGCGGAGAAGACGACAGCCATAGTGGCTATTTTTGCGGACGACCGACAGCAACCCCCACGCGGTTCTACGGCTCATATCATTCGACCAGGGACTGATTTGATTTCATGATCTGGGACCGACACCTGCCGAGTTTTCCATATTCTCCGGCGGCCGTGATGCCAGAGGGCGAGAATTCGGAGGAACGGGCCCAGGACGATGCGGAGCATTTAGGAAGGCGTGGAATGTTGGATGACATGATAGGAGATGAGAGAAAAAAGTTTTCTTTGATTCATTCTTGGGCAGGAGAGGCGGATCTTGGTTGAATTGGACGAAATCTCTTTCATGGCCGGATTCGCCAAAGCGAGAAGGGAGCAACCGTCGTCCAGGCGGGCCCAGGCCGTCAACCCAGGGGCAAAGAGGAAGCGAAGGTGCTAGGTAAGATAGGTTTGTGCTCAGAGCCATGGATGCTTTGGTACCTTCATGGTAGGGAGTAGTTGAGTGGCGTTGGAAGAGTCTGAGCTATCATGTTTCTTTGGACAGTTGTGCAGTCCGAGGAGTAGTTGCAGTTGCAGTTGCAGTTGCAGTTGCAATTTACAATTTGCAATTTGCAAACCTGCTGCAAAGCGGTTCGCCCTCGTTCGATCTCAAGTGGCAGTGGGCAAAGTCAACGGTCGAAGATGGTGGTGCTGTGGATGGTGGTGGTGTGCGGCTACCACAGTTGCCATCGCTGCCACTGCGCTGCTCTTGTGGTAGGTAGCTGTGGTAGCCATACGGCGTAGCCGGCGACTATTACACAACACCAAGATAATTGAAGATGTGCAAACCTGGGTCTAGCAAAACACATGACTGGTTTTGAGTAGAAGCCGGGGGTCAGGCACGGCTAGCATCGTTTGGGAGGGCGTGGATGTCGATCATGGGTTTGGGTAGTGAAGCAGCAGGCAGTGGAGAGAGAGACGGAGAGAGGGAGAGGGGTGAATCAGAGCAAATGGAAGAAGAGCAGGGATCGATGGCGACTGCTCAGTCTCCGGATGGACTAGGCTTAAGGAGGATTAGCGCGACGATGAGAAGCTAGTCTTCTTGCGCGATAGTGGCATCCACTTGTGCAAGAGCTGGCTGCCGTCACTGGCTCGTTCAGACTCTGCAGCAGACGCCTTGCACATGTACTCGTGCCTGAGGTATTCTTCAACTGCACAATTCATTGCATCACTGTCTATCCGTAGTCTCCTTCCTGCTGCCCACGCCATTTGTGTCCACTCTGCTGTGCTGCTTGAGCATGAATGAGAGTTGCGAATACTGTCCACACGCCTCTCGCGTCATCGTCGACTGTCGCGGTCGCCATCTTGGGCTGCAGTGCGCCTACCCAGAGTGCCAGACCTCTGGCCTCCGCCAGAAGACTTCAGCGGTAAGGTATGATGGCGCAAGAGAAGGTACTGAAGACGAGAGACTGTCACAGAGCAAAGTTACTTGCACCCATAGAGACACACAGAAGCATTGGAAAGCGAGAGAAGGCACAGGCCAGCAGCCAGCAAGAAACTCGGACCAAGTCTGAGTATCATGTCGGCCAAGTTTGTATTGAGAGTACCAGCGCAGTGCCCCCGCTTCTTCAGTCTTCCCGTCCTTCAAAGCTTCACACCCAGAAGCTTGGACCATCTCACCTCGTCTAAGGTGGGTATCCATCGCAGTACTGCGTACGAATACTCAGTGGGAGGTGAATACGTACCTATCTGAGGGAGAATAGCTACACCCCTCTTCGTTTTGCACAATACCGTTGCATAATTATGCTGCGCTGCACCTGCCACCCTCCCTCTCAGCGCACAACAGTCGCCTTTGACGCAGAAAATTTTCAAAAAGTCATCACACGCCAGTGTCCCCCCCCCGGCTCCCCTGCCACTGGACTGACTGCCTGGAGCCCTGGACTGCCTCTGGACTCACTCAACCCAGGCAGTCTGGGCCTGCCTCTTCGCACTTGCTTCCCCCCCATCTGCTCCAGCGTCCCCCCAAATCTCTCATCGGCCATCTCGCTCCCCCCTTCGTTTCCTTTCCTTTCCCCTCCCACCCTTCAACCTCCCTCCTCCAGTATCCCCTGTCCCTCACACACACACACACACCCAACTCCCGTCCGCACACCTTCTACGTTCTACCCACCCCCCTTCTCTCTCTTTCTCTCACGTCCAGTTGTGTCTCCTCCCACCCCCCCTTCTCGTCGGCGCTATCTGCTGCTGCAGGGCATGGGAACTGAACTGGGGTGGGGCCCTTGCTCAGCCCATCCAGCAGTCGCAGTGTTGCCAGTGCCATGCTTGCTGCCTCTCTGCCCTCCATCTCCACCCCAAAGAGGGGCCTGCGACAGCTGCACCTGCACCTGCACACTAGCTAGCGGCCACTTCCTGCCCTTGTGCTTGTGTCTGCATGTTTGTGTGGTGGGCTGGTGTCTCTTAGTCTGAGGTGCACTCTCCTCTCCACGTCTTCCTGTCCTCAAACAAAGTACCCCACCCCCCAAAATATGAGGCCAGTTACCTGCCTACCCACCCACCCAGTGTACCTGCCCAAGTCCGCTGGGGGAGGTGTGCAGCGCCAAAGGCCTTTGCCTTGGGCGTCGTCCCTCCACTCCCTCCTCCTCAGTTCAGTGGGCAGGCTGTGCTTCGAGGATAGATACATATGAGCCGACCTCTTCCACTCCTCGATCCACCTCTCGTTCTCCCATCATTCGACTTCACTCAACTTCTCCGACTCTTGCTCGTGGCTCATTCTCTTTGCCTGTGGCTACCAGTCATACTTCTACTTAATGACTGCAATCCGTCCAACTCTTTAAACACCCTCCATCACCCACCACTCGCATCCAGCTCGCCAACTTCCAACTTCAATCACTTGCTACGAAAATCAACCACTACTAGGTTGACTCGACTCAACCGTCTCGACATCACAACTACACAACACCCTCAACACACAACCACGCACTCTTCAGCCATGGCCGCCTTCGATCTCTGGACTCCCGAGTTCTGCCTCGGCTGTGACAAGCAGACCGACGGCACTGCCTACTGCTCTGAATCCTGCCGCCTGGCCGACTTCGAGAAGACTTCCACTTCCAGCTCCGTTGCGAGCTCTCCCGGCCTCAACGCTCCCTCATACCCATGGTCCGGTTCTTCGAGGCAACAATCGTCGAACAAGCTCTACCTCGCTCCCGCCTACGACTTTTCCAACCCCCAGCCGTACGGCTCAACACCCGTCAGACAATCCTACCTCTCTCAGAGGCAGTCATCCACCCGCCGCACCCTGACCACCTCGAGCTCTAACTCCAGCCTCTGCTCGATGCAGAGCACCACATCATCGAACGCAGACGCCAGCCAGCTGTCGGACAAGGCGAGGAGAGAACTCCAAGCATACGCCGTGTCTTTCGAGCAAGCCCGTCTTCAACGCCGCCGTTCCTACTAAAAAAACGACTTCTCCACCCAAAACATTCTTCAACCTTTTCTTTCTACGCTGTTCAATATACCCTTAGTCGTTCAATAAGCGGCGCTTTTTCAACAATATTTCGCAACTCATCAACTCGGCACACCGACTCTATATCTCACTTTTCCTTGGTTCAACTGTTGTAACAAAAATGGGCATTACACAGGAGTATTGCATTATAAAAAAAAGTTTGGGCTCAACACCGGGGAGTACTTGGCTTTGGCAGAAGGGCTGCTTCATCCGTACGGGGGCGCAACAATGGGAATTACCGGGATTGTACCACGACACACGTGGCTTGTTTCCACAAGAGGTTGTTCACAGGCATGGCATCACATGGGATTAAGATAATCCCCTTTGGCTTTTTCAACACATTACGACATTGGTATTTTTCACGGGGAGCCGGTCATCAATCGAGTGGACAGGCTTGGACTCAAGGAACGATGACGGCGTCGGGGGCAAAGACCCCGACATCAGATGGAACAATCAGGGAAACAGCCACTCTAAGGGGCTTGGACTGGCATTAGGGACGGAGATGCATTAGGATTAACAGTTTGACGGGATCACTGGGCAGCAAGAAGCATAGTTTTCATTGGGAGGACAAGGAACTAGCACAGGAACACGTCAGATTGAGAAAAAAAAAAATCAACAAGACCAGTTCATGACTTCTCACAATAACATTGCTGTCTGCAACCAACAAAATTTTCCCATTGCGATGGTGACTCTCTCATGGGCTATGACTCTGAATGCCAGCACAAGCTGCATCCACTTTCTGGAGCATTCGCGACGGAGCCGTGGGTCCACGGGAAAAGGCGTCATGGTGCCGGAAGGTCAAGTCTCCATTATGCTTCAATGTGCGGCCCCTGCCACTACGCCAGGGGGGGGGCACGGGGTGTCAGGGAGAGCTACGAGAGGAACAGACAAAAAGGGGAGAAAGGAAAAGGAAAAAAAAAAATCGGAAAAAAATGGCAGCATATGGCCCCCCAATCCCTCGACGGTCTCTAACGGCCTGCCAGGGGCGGCCACAGCACACAATTTGGGAAGGAATACTGGAGACGTTGGGGGCGGCTGAAGGGTGCGAATTTCTTATTGCAGACTTTGACAACGGCTCTTTCGCCCACGTTGCCAACCTGCAGCCCCTGATGGCTCTGGAAGGGTAACTAACGACACAAGGGGCCCCGATGAAGTAATTGCGCGAGGAGAAGGGGGACGAGGCGGGAAGACAGGCGAAATTTGACAGATGACACAACTTGCAACTTCTCGGCACCATGTGCTGAGGCGATGCCATCATTATCGTGCACTCGGATGGTGGCGGTGGCATTTTGTCTTTTGAGTCTTCCCGTTCCCCGCCTGTACCTATGGCCCGTCTCCTTCGGCCGCTGCCTTTTCGCCTTGTCCGTTGCCTATCCGTGTCTGGTGCTGTCCCCCCGCCATAAATCTTTTAGGCTTTTCGAGTTGTCCGTGGCTGGTCCCTGAAGATGGCCGCTAACGCTAAAAGTACCACCAAAAAAAAAAAAAAAAAAAAAAAAAAAAGGGCACGATGAAGTGGCCGGGCCTGTGTTATGTCATCCAAGGAACGTCCAACGTGAAACTTTGCAGCTTGTCCACCGTGTTCCGCGCCCACCACCAGCAGCGCCGCTCTGCCTGAGCTTTCTTGTCGATGCCGTCTTGTGGTGGAGGCCGTTTGATGGTGCACAGCTCGTAATCTCGCACCAAGATTGAGTGAGTGAGGCCAAGGCAGCACGCCCGGGGCAAGGGCAAGAAAGGACAGGGCAGGGCAATCAAGATGAGATGCTTTCGCTTTCTCACTCCGTCGTTATTTCGCGGCTCCATCTACTTCTGCGTCTCGCTGTCTGAGTCTATTTACACAATTGTGTGAGTGTCTGATCATCCTTTCTCGGGTCCTCGGCCGGAGGGGCATGGCCATCCGAGCACCGACAAGTCCGATGCCAGCCAGCGCATGCGAAAATGCCTTAAGCCGAACTCGAATACTTCCCTCCACTTACTTGGCCGGTGTCCGCCGTACGGAACTGCTGGCTGCACATCCCCCGCCAAACCGGGTATCCATCCAAACCATCTTTGATTAATTTTGTTGGGCAGGGCATCCATTTTTCTTTTCTTTTTTTTTTTTCTGCTCTTGCTTGGTGCCTAGTTAGGAAGGGACCCGTCGACGTGCGCCTGTCATGGGGCTCTGCCGCCGCCCACTTGCAGCGCTGTGACAATGACGTGAGCCGCAAGAGAAAACATGCCATCCGGCGCCCCCATCGTGCTTCCTATGACGAGGCGCCCAAGGGAGGCCAGATTTCGGAAACCCTCGTGAGATCCATGATCCACCGGGGAACGAGATTGATACTACCCCTTCTGTCGAATGACGACGAGACGGACTGGACCCCGCCAGGCGAGAAATACTGCGGCAACACACGCACACGCGCACACACAATCCGTCTCGCGTCTCGCACAATGTCAAGCTTTTCTCTCGCCATGGTTGAGTCTCGTAGCCGCTCGGCCTGGTGATTCGCCAAACCCACCCCTTCCTTTCGCCTACCATTGATGAATGATACCGTGCCGGTGCCAGTTCCCCTTGCGGCACGGACGGGTAGGGCGACTGCTGCGTTTACGACGGCGACCACGAAGCGAGAGGAGGAAAGGGGGAAAAGAGGCAAAGCATTGGACAAGCTGCAAATTAGCTGCGGCCAGGCGCTAAAACGGAGACAAATGGGCAGATCATCGACGATGGGCTCCCACAACTCCCTCGTTTCTTCTCATCTCTCAATCTCGGTCTCCGTCTCCGTCTCCGACTCCGCCTGCCCTTCGCTCGATGGCCTCGAAAACCGCAAGAGGCCGCGACGACGACGACGACGACGACGCCGCACTCGCTCCTCTTGCTCCAACGTCCACGCCATCGCCTCCGATGTCCGGCGTTGTCCCCAGTCAGCTACCTCCATCGTGGGAGGGCCAAAGGGGGCTCTGTCTGGGTCCCTCGTTGCCTCTAGGTCGTCAACTCGTCTGGGCTACCAATTGAGAAGGGTCCATGGCAGGGTCCAGGTTCTGAATGCGAATCTGGATCTGGACCGATGCCCACGGGCGTCGATGGCGGCCCGAACGCTAAGGGCAATCAATCACGACATTTGCACCTCAATTCACTCATCCTCACGGCAGACTTTCCTCCCACTACAGACAGCCATGGAGACATCCGCCGCTACAGGCAAGCGCTGGTGGCACCTCACAAGTTGCAGGGGTGGATTGGACGGGTGTGTGAAGGTGAAGAAGTGCCTCGCCTCGCCTCGCCTCACAGCTGCCTCACACTTCCAATTCATGGAGGGGCGTGGCAGACTGGTGCCCTGAGGCAGACTGGCCTTCAGGCGTCTCGCCCACTGTAGCTGGCCATATTGGGGGCGAGCCAGAACATGCTCAAAACGGAAACGCGGAGGGCACAGGGCGCCCGGGGCCCCTCCATCAGCCCAGCCTCAAATCAACTCAGCTCGCTTAGAGAGGTGGTGAGGTGATGGTGTGTGTGTGTGTGTGTGTGTGTGTGTGTGTGTGTATGTGAGTGAGTGAATGAGTGAGTATGTGTACCTCACTTGCGGAACAGCCCGCAGCTTTGAATTTCTGCAGCCGTTGTCACCTCACCTCGTACGGACAGAATAGTCTTCACGTTGCTGCAACAGTCAAGAGCCTCAATCAGCGCCGAGCGTCTTGGCCTCGCCCCAGTTTGCCTCTCTCTCCATGCACATGCAGTCAGAAACACTTCATCCATTTCCGTTTTGCGTTGCTTGCATAAGAAATAACCACAATTTCACCCGAGAGGCTGATAATGCCAATGCCTCACTCTTACTCGCTTGCCACCTATCGACCATCGTGCCATCGTATTATTGCGACCCTCTGTGTCTCCAATGTCTATCCATCCCCTCATCTGTAATACCAGCACGCTGCACTGCACAGCAACCGACCAAATACCTTCCTCTTTGAACCGAGTGCGTTGATAGTTATTCTGGCCATGGTCTCGGCGGCGTCTGATACGACAAATCCTCCTCACAATTGATCACATCAAACATATCAAACGTGGGTTTGTTGGGGGAGTGGTCACAGCAAGAAATAATAGGAGACATGCTCATATCCAACGCCCCCCTTGTCAATCCAACTCGTCAAACAAGCCATTCTGCGTTTTGATCCCCTTCCCTTCCGATCTTAGTTCAAGGCGAGGTTAGACAAGGACGTTGAGGATGTGAAAAATTTTCATCGCCTGGATCACGAAAGAATCCAATTGTTTTTTTTTCTGGTTCCCCGAGTCCCCCATCCCTACATAGGAATGTAGCACGCTGCAACGCATCGATCGATCTTCGAGCCTGCGCTACCCTCCTTGCGCCCGGCCTTTGTCTAGGTCTGTTCCTGTTGTCAATGTCCGTTCTGGGCTCTAGCTGCTTCTTTTTTTTCCCCCGGCTGTCCGCCAGCAGGCCCTGTCGTTCTTGTTTTAGTTGGTGAGTCGTTCCCGTAGTAGACATGTATCAAGAGACAATAACAACAACAAACCCCAAACAAACTTTTCTCTCTTGCAACCGGTCCGTCCTGAGGGGGTCTGATACAAGATGAACGGCTCAACGGATATTGAGGGTTCAACTGGTGCAGAGTGAGTACGTCTCTGGTCACTCCCAGGGCCAATGGGCAGGATTTCGTTGGCTCGCTTCCACGGGCGGTTTTCCTAACGCCTGCGTCTCTCTGGACTCTCACTCGCCGCCCCAAAAACGTTCGAGAACAGGCTTCTGGTCGAACCACGGCGGTAACATCGTTCCGGGCTACCGCCTCTCTGGCTCCCTTGTGGTGAGAAGACATGTAGCGCGCGGGTTTCAGTCAGAGGGAGTGCAACGCCGTGCTTTGCTCGTTGAACATGTCGTTCGTGCGAGAGGCTCTTTTTCCCCCCGAGCGAGGGGATTGCTGTCTCTGGCGGCCTCTGCATCTATCTCTGTACGCACACGGAAGCAGCTTGA